AAACAGCCCTGTTATGAAACCGCTTTAGACGGTGCTAGGGGGCGTTGGAGATGTTACTCTGTAACATGAGCTCTTATGAACACCGAGTTGAAATTTTTACTTTATATTCAATTTGCTGTTTTCAATAAATTGTTTTCGATAATTTGAAGGAAGTCCCTTTTCCAGATGTATATTCCCCCTTATCACCAAACTGTCTTAAGGACATTTTTCAACTAAATTGAACTGAGACGTTTCATATCATGATTACAAAGGCTTGAAAGTGTTGAAGCAGTATAAAGTAGAAAAAAGGGAATCCCCGAAGAGCATCCGAATTGGCAGTAATGAAAATGTTGCAACTTCGGTTCAATTGTGGCTATTTATGGACGGGACTGGAAATTGCAAGTTACTGTCCACGCTCTCTAGCACCGGCTTAAGCGTAATTTAACATTTAAACTCTGGAATACAGAAACATCCACAAAACTTCAATGTTACAGTATTCATACACATAAATCACATTAGCAAGGTCACTGGCCATTTTAATTGATTTATCAAGGGAAGAGCAAACAGTGATAAATTTAATGTGTTAACAATGTTTGTAAACAACAACAGAAAATAAATAAATATTGTCTTATTTCTTGTCTTCACGGCTATCTTGGTTGGAGGTAATTAAACTATTTTTGAAAAAGCACTTTAAAGTGAATTATTTGTTTAAGAAATAACATCATACATTTTGCTCCATGTACTTCGATTGTTGTCATAGGTGATAATCACTTTAAAAATAACACAAGAGAAACTGTATTGAATGGTAAAGTGGTAAGACAATGGTTTTTCATAAATGAGTAAAAAGTGGTAATGCAAGATATTTTTGTGTAAATATTTAAAAACAAATGTAGAATTCTGTAACACAATTGTTTTATAGCAGTTTATTCAGATGTGTTAACGTTGAAATAAAAGAAGCGTATAAACATTGCTGCATTAACTGTTACAGTAGTAAAATTAAGTATACTTTAATATATCCATCCGTTTGTAAACGTTATTTGCATATAGCATTTAAAAGTTCATTAGCATTTATGAGAGACTAACATATTTAATATTATAAATTCAGAATATTAAGATGATTAATTGTCACTTTTGATTTATCGCTGTCTTACTGTTTGAATATATTTACATTTTCATTTTGATCTTCAAGCGTATCCTTAACAATATCACCTATTGTCGAGGCTGGTAAAACGTCAACCGTGGCAATCTTGTATTAACATTTTAATAAATGCAATCTTCTTACGTTCTGTTTGATCAAAAGTAGTGCATTGATGTTTTAAATAATGTTTGGAATTTATTTTAATTAGATAACATGTTTAAAGGAATACGTTTTCCTTTGTTTGAACTTGATTTCTTAACTTAAATTTTCGATCTTTTCTACCATATTTTGTAAAAAATAATGTTTGGAATTTGTTTTAAATAGATAACATGTATAAAGGAATATGTTTTCCTTTGTTTGAACTCGAGTTCTTAACTTAACTTTTCGATCTTTTCCACCATATTTTTGAAAAAAAAATCACAAAAAAGCAAATGACTATGGGTATCGGATGATATTCATTTTTGCTTGTTTGTTATAATCTATGTAAACATTTGATAAAACATTTGACAGTATTTGAATAAATCTGACAGAAGTCTGACTGTTTGAGTTAATACTGAAGGTTGACATAAAGACGAAACAAGTATGTCATTTAGTAATGCCTTAAACTTAATAATTATATTACTTTAATAACAAATCATAAACGTTTACCAAATACGATTTTGATAAGAAATACACCTTGAAATAGATGCATAAAATGTCTATTAACGAAATATCAATTTCTATCGTTAAAGTAAAAGATAGAGAATTGAACAATTGATTTTATCTAACATAGAATGCAGCGATGAATCTGTGAATATATAAGCAAATAAAGTCACGTGACGTGAAAATAACTGAAGAATAATTTTGTCTTGTCCTCGCTAAACCTCCGTTACCTTGACCTTGTCATGTCTGCTCAACTTAAAGATTGGCTTATTACAAAAAATGCTAAACAATATTTAAACACACAAGGAAAAAAGCCGAGAGAACTAAACCATGTGCAACAACTGTAAAATCTGGACTGCAAAGAAGACTTCATTTCTAAATTGTATTGATATTAAATTTATCTAAAGGCCAGTTATTACACAAATATTAAAACTTAAATGTATATACTTAAACATGGTATAAAAGGTTTTAACCAGTTGTCTCCTTTACCCGAAGTATATCCAAAAGTAAAAGTCGCTGGGGCAGAGGGACAGGGGCAGTGGTTTCAATTGACTAGTTCATAAATCATTATTGTTTTATGTTGTATCCTAACAATCTATTTCAATGTGTATTTCTTGTAGCAAGATGTACTTCTTCCAGAAAAGTGTATCTGTTGCAGTAAAGTGTATTTTTTTGCAAGAAATTGTAATTCTTGTAAAGTTAATTTCTTGCAGCAAAATGTAATTCTTGTATATATGTGCATTTCTTGCAGAAAGGTGTATTTCTTTTCCTTGCAGCATAGTGTATTTCAGTAAAGTCTATTTTTTGCAGCAATGTGTATTTCATAATAATTTACTTCTTGTAGCAAGGTGTATTTCTTGCAGAAATTTGTATTTCTTGCGACCGACTTTATAATCATGTATATCAACGATATCATAAAGTAAACGGTAAAATATACTCTTGTCAAGTAATACATGTTCGTTTTTCGATGATTCATGTTAAGGAGGCACAGGCTATCCATCAAAATGGCTCAGTTTTATTCTCTCAAAGCAGAATTCCAATTTAATTAATGAGTAATCGGACACAAAAGTAGGGACATGAAAACTGCATGACACATAGATCGAATGACGAAAACAGTAAAAAAGACAAAAAAATAAACAGTCACTCCTTTTGTTTTATAGAAGATAAAGACGTTTGCCTTACGCCGGATAAGATATGGACACACTTAACCTGATACATCTTTTTTTCTAGAGTAAAACTGTGATTCCGAGACGCCATTATATAAGCATTATTTAAAACTTTTTCTCACACACGAAAAAAAAATGTACAAGGTAGTTGGTCTTTTTGCCATTGTTTTGGCTTTCAATTCGCTTTGAAGCTATGACCTAGATTAAAAAAAAATCTTATTTTATAATTGGTGTACGATATAGTTATTAACGATACAGCAAACGGGGGTAAAGAATATATCAGAGCTGATTACTCAAGTGTTTTGTAAGCAAAAGTTGTTGATTGCATTGGAGATAGGAGCGTTTATCTGAGTGTTTTGGAGAGGTCTGGAGAGGTATTGCATAAACGTCTTATGTTTTAATGCTTTTAAAGTATTGTTTAGTCTCAAGTATCAAAGTCCACATTGAAATGACGGCAAGCAAGAGGTCTGAAGATGTTTTAAAAGTTCTTGGATAATATGCATTTTGAATCAGATTAAAAAGAGAAAATAAGATGTTAGATAATCGTAAAATAGGATTATAGTAGGAATTTCTTTTTCGTCTATCTGTACAAAACAATACAATTTCATAGGCATACATAAGACTAACAATTCAAGAATAAATCAATAATTATAACATTGATGATGTTGTTGTTTATAAAAAGCAAAAGGGTCGGACCTTAAAATGTGTAACGACATTAGACAGTTGGCTATTTCCATATTAATTATTACAATAATAGTACAAAGATGGGCATGATTTTTGTACTAGTATTTAAATTGTGCAATAAAAGTACATTGTTTATAAGCAATAAAATGTATCTGACAAGATCCACTTCAATCTAAGTTATTATAAGAAATTAAACAAAGAAGATAAAACTGTTCAATGATAATTAATCTTTGTTTTTATATGATCCCTACTTGATGATTTTTAAACAGTAATACAAAAAATAAAATAAAGACAACAAATCAAAATGTGTCCAATCAGTATCAGCTAGATTATTACGTATTCATTGTACCCGCATATATGTGTGTACCCTTAAAGTTGTTAAGAGCAGCAGGTACATATGTTACATAACATGCATGTGAGATAAAAAAATAATAATAATAAAAGAAAAAAAGAAAAACAATGTTACAGTTAATGATATTTTTTTATGTTTGTCATATAACTGTTATTCATTTCTATTTTTTATTATAATTTTTTTATTATCATTTCAATATTTTTTCAATTTCATTTAACCTTTAATCTCTCCCTGAAATTATTTCCATGTTTGATGTATTTGTTTAAAGTTCCTATCAGTTCGATTGTATCAAATTATTTGCATGTTTTTGCTTCCTGGTTATGAATCATAATCCCCAAGTCTTGTTCAAATTGAATCACATTAATATGTGTATGCTTTTCCAATTTTAGATTTTGATCAACTTCGTAACGGTATTTTTATGCATCTTAAACATCCGCCGTATCACTATACAGATACTATAAAATATCATTGAAATCTTCCTCTCCATTAGTTTTATGTTTTATTTTGATTTTAATCAGTTTTATTATATGAAATTGTTTAACAACGAGCACGGTTAATTAACGCTTGCGAAGACATCTTCGGTAGAAAACCAATGTTGTTAAACGCGATGCGTCTACGGTAGCATTAGATTCGATTCAATCAAACATTTGTGTTGGCCTTATCACAATTTTGTGCAAATATTCCAGTCACTTAGCTCATTTTGATAGCGATTCTAAATGCGTTTCCGTAACAAATGAGACAGAATTGCAATGTATCATTATATCATATTAATCTCTCTACTAAATCACGTTCATACATTCGTTCTAAAATCATCAAATGCTATAAAATAAGCTATATCGCTCTCTATTGTGTTACAGGGAAACATTTGGACTTAAGTACAAAAATCAAGAAAACTCTATTAACTCAGCAAATAGACACAGAGTAAAATAATTAAGAAAGGAAATGAAAGAACGGCGAGAGACACAAAGTTAAGACCGTTTTTCAAAACTTCTAACTACAGATAGAGTATTTTGCTCACGGTTCGCCGAGCTTGTCAATGTACTGTTGATGTAAGAGAGAAATTTATAGAGAGACGGTATGCGAAGTAGCAAAGGGTTTAGGTGATCATTGTCGATGCTACTGCCTTACTGACGAGACGTATTTGATAGTTAGCAAATGATTATAGCTGATTTATGACTTGCTTTCTTGTTTGCTTACTCGCCATTGTTACGTTTACGAGTGATGTTAATTTGATTTAGATGTGGTGAAAGTTTAACGGATTTTTTTATGGATAATTGCTAAATATATTATTATTATACATTTTAAGTGCATCGATAGAAAAAACAATAAACACCGTTAAAATTTGGACATTAAATTAAAATTATGTGACTATTTATTGATAAAGATGGTGATTATAGCATCGTAATTACAGGAGTGAATGAATTGAATATTGCTTGCTTATTAACTTTGTGGGAAGTGTAACGGTGATTTTATCTATATGGAGTACTGTATATAATTATCATGATTTTATAAATAGTAATCACATGTAATAATAATTTTATAGACCACGGAGCTATACAATTAGGTATATAATTACGAGGGAGAAACTGACAGTGTTGTGCTGAACGTGTATTAGGCTGTATATTATCAGGGTGTATTGTAGCCCCATTTTTGTGTTACCACAAAGGGGAAGACAAATGGGATAACATTTGAACTGTTGTCGTACTAAAGTGATAGTAAAACTCGAGCTATGTGTTTACATCATTTCTTTGATAAGTTATACAAAGGGGCGAATCTCTTGTGTGTTTAAGTTTTAAGTGTGTCTATGTCAAACTTGATTTTGAGTACACAGGACAAAAAATAATTTCCATGTATATACCGGGTGACATTCGATGGAGATAGATTTGGGAATTTTTTGCGTGTGTGTTAAAATTTATGAAAGTTAATAGAGTAAAATAGGATAACGTTGTATACCGACTTTATCTGATAAAATTTGTTTGGGGTCAAAGTACCAAGTTTTATGAAATAATGTATTCAATAAAGGATGTTATTTACTCGCTGCAGTGTAAGTATGGAGTAATGTCATTTTATCATGCGGAATATCTAGTATGATACGAATCTTTAAATGTATGTAAAAACTCAGATATGTTAAAAGATATATTCAACGCCTGTGAATCAGAGATTTATAGATATACGAGATATTGCACATTTGTGTTTTATCCTCTTGAACTACTGAATTTTAGAGGGACAGGTAGCTCGGGTCTATTCTGATACTATTGGTCTCACCAGATTCTGTTGTAGAATTATAATGACAACTTAGTATGACCCCTGAAATTAGCACGAAAAACGTGGTCGGACCGTAGCTTTCAGATTCCAATCAAACTGAAAGTAGAATGTGTTATTTGTGCACGTCTTTATTTATTTTTATATTTCAATTTTGAATTTGATGCATAAATTAAAATACATGAATAGTAATAAGTTTAATAAAGAAAATACACTGTTTTGTTAATTTGTTAAAATAATAATAATACTTTATTTTTTCAGAGGTGAAAAAAGTAGCTCAACAATGTATAAAGGATACGTTCCCCTCAACTTAGCCCTTGTTTCCTTGTTGATAGCATTGTGCTCAGCTGTTGGTAAGTAACTTTTTTTTTTAATCTATATTTTTAATAATTTTATTATCAATGTCAGTGGCCGCATAATAAACGTGAGTATAGAATCTAGTACAGTACATATCTAGCAATTATTGTATATTCTTAATATTTATTAAGGGCTTATTTGTTTGGAAATTGAGTGGTTTTGAAAAATCCATCTTTAAATATTATTTAAGTTAATATATACTGCAATAGACATGAATAGCAGAAATTACAAAAGTAATATTAATGAACCCCTTTTCTACCCACAATAAATTGTTTACAATCTCAGATTCATCATAATTCATTTCCACTGAAAAAAGAAGCATTTATAGATAATAGATATAGCCAATTGATGTCAATTTGAGTCTTGTCTGTTTTTCTTATTCCACATCAATATTTTTTTCTTATTCTATATCAGTAATTAAAAATCTTAGTATGTATATTGTGTTGTTTAATTAAAGACATCAATGTAGTAAAAAAAAACAATCTGATTAAAATCAGCTCAAAATATTGAAGGCTCCACATTTACATGTAAGAAATAAGTAGATCTGAACTTTAGTCAAATTGGTAAAAAAAAAAGTACAATGACCTAATACACCACTGCAAATTCATGACCAATCCGAAAAGTATGATTTATTTGTGAAAGTCAATCTTAAAAAAAAAATTCAAAGAAGGCATTTTTCAAATTAAGGTACTTCAGTTCATTTGAGTAATTGCAACACAATTATTTCCTTCTCCCTTGCTACGCTGAAATAACATTTCAACTGTCATCATTTTATTATTAACACCACTTACTGGACAGTTATTTGAGTGCACTGCAGTTTTTTCATGAAATTTTATCCACCGCAATTGATGACTTGTGCATTATTATGTAAAATTTGATATGTATGCATTTGATACTTCTGAACAAATTAACCTCATTAGTTACACGGAAAGAAAAATCCTTTTTGTCTGGTAATATGAAATAGATATTGATAAATCATTTTTTTTCACTTATAAATGTCAGGTATTCATTATAAAATAACTATATCTTTTCTAATCTGTACTGTTAATTTTTCACCATATATTTGGATTTTGCCCATTTAAATATGCATTAAATATTTTAATTTTCACATTAACTGGTCTGTCATCAAGGCTGTTGGAGAGGTGTAAATCATTTTTCAAACCCATTTATAGATAAAAGCCTTCAGAATAATTACAGGTACAAAAATCCTGGTCTTTGTGTACTCTGGCATAATTATTACATTTAATGTGATAAAGAACCGCCCCTTCTTTTGTAGAGTTCTTAAAAAAGAGTGTAATTTTGTGAAATACTGGCTCCAAAATTATATTCAGTAAATATAGTGTTTGAGATAAAAGAACAACACATTCGAACTAAATTTTAAAATGTTTATTAAAGAAAGTCTTTTTATTTCCGATTTTTTTTTTTTTTAATTGACTAAGTATAAAACTATGTACATTTTATCTTTAAATGTGACATTTTAACATTTTAATTCACATATTTCTTTAACTCTAAATGTTCCATGCTTATATTTTGAGTTATTTGATGCAAAATAACTATTGGGGCAATTTTCCTGTATGAATTTAACCTCTAATGAACCTTTAAACAGTTATGACGATATGACACCAGTTCCCCTAACATTACACCAGTATTACGCCATCTTCATACCATTTTACATTTAAATAATTACACATGCTGTACTGGCATACCTCATAAATTTTCACTGCCACTTTGGCGACTACCCGAAAGTAAATAAATTAAGAGTTTAGCCAATATCGTAAATTTGTATGTGTGTTTTCAATGACACTTTTTACAAGACCTAGTTTTGTGTTTGACAAAGATAAAACCTGAAATTTGCTACTTCTCTGACACTAGTTAGATTTATTACACTTTGATTTTATTTAAATGACAAAACATAGTTCACAGAATATTGATATAATTATCAGAAAACTTAAGATTTTTTTTTTTCATGTACAGTCTTCACAGAAAAATTAAATGCCTGAAGCTAAGTAGATAAATTTAATTACAAATATTTATGACAATGTTTAAGTTGTTAATTATTTTTCATTAAAGGTTATGCAACACAGTGGGTAGATGGTAATTGGTTATTCTTTTTGTTTTCATCACATTTTTGTTTTGCTAGTGGGATTTGTCAGACTTTGCTAGAATAAAAATGAGTTTGAGTTTGTTTATTATAGTACGGTAGTTGGGAGAGGTACCAGTGTCCTAGTGGTTTAGGTATCTGCGTCGCCCTCTCAACCTAGGAATAATGTGTTTGAGTCCTGGCGGTGTCAGCTAGGGCATGCGACCTTGTTTCTTGACAGGACACTGTATGGGTAGCCTGAAGAAGGTGTAATACTTTACAAAAAATAAGTATGCCTAAACTACAAGTGCATTGCTATGGTACAAAACTACTTCTCAAGTTTTTTCGTTTGGGTTAAATTTTATTTTTATTTCTTTTTGTTTGAATTTTGTTGTTTGATTTTTGTTGATTTTTAACCAGGTTTTCCGAAGGAAAAAACTGGTTATTAGATTGAGGTATGTCGGCGGGCGGGCGGTCGGGCGGGCGCGCGCGACGCGGCGGCGGGCGGGCGTAAACAATTTCTTCTGTGCGCAACTCCTCCTACATTTCTCAACGGATTTTGACCAAACTTTCACAGAAGCTTTGTCATCAAGTGCCCTGGCGCATATTGTCGGGGTTTTGCGATTAGATAATATTTGATCTAATTATGGGCCCTTTGTTTTTTTTTCCTTATATAAAATATATAGTGAACAATTTATTCTGTGCGCAACTCCTCCTACATTTCTCAACGGATTTTGACCAAACTTTCTCAGAAGCTTTGTCATCAAGTGCCCTGACACATATTGCCAGGGTTTTGCAATTGGTATATATTTGACCTAATTATGGCCCTTTGTTTTTTTTCCTTATATAGAATATATAGTGAACAATTTCTTCTGTGCGCAACTCCTCCTACATTTCTCAACGGATTTTGACCAAACTTTCTTAGAAGCTTTGTTATCAAGTGCCTGGCACATATTGTCGGGGTTTTGTGTTTGGATAATATTTGACCGAATTATGGCCCTTTGTATATTTTTTCCTTATACAGAATATATAGAGAACAATTTCTTCTGTGCTCAACTCCTCCTACATTTCTCAACGGATTTTGACCAAACTTTCTTAGAAGCTTTGTTTTCAAGTGCCTGGCACATATTGTCGGGGTTTTGTGATTGGATAATATTTGACCGAATTATGGCCCTTTGTATATTTTTTCCTTATACAGAATATATAGTGAACAATTTCAACAGTGCGCAACTTCTCCTACATTTCTCAATGGATTTTGACCAAACTTTCACAGAAGCTTTGTCATCAAGTGCCCTGGCGCTCACTAAATTCCCATGTTTCTTCCAAGACATCATTCAATTTTTTTTTTTAAATTGTGAACATACTTTTCTTGATATCGCACAAAACACCACACGCCAATATTGTTGACAAAAGAAAATGACAAGAGACGCAAAAATGCAAAAATTAAGCAAAAATAAAGTACTGTTTACCTTTCTAAAACATTTGGGAAAAAAAGGCGAATAGACAACATAAAATTTCTCAATCATTTTTGTTTGAGGAATATTAAAAAAGCCATAATTCCTCCTAAAAGTTCAATTAAAAACAAATGCCCCTTCATGACAAAGCTTCTGTGAAATATTTTGCTGAAAACCTGGTTGCATCGCATTGCGATGTTCCTTGTTTTTATTTAGTTCTTTAAAAAAAATAATTTCTGTTATGTGAGAAATATTGAAAATTTAGATACCGGAAATTTTAAAGTTTAAATTCTTATAAATTTTTTATAGATCACTGTCTCTCTGATATGTTTAAAATAAAGACAAGACTGTTAAATTATTTTCCTTGAATCCTTATCAACATTACAGTGTAATATAATGTATCCGTTATTTCCGTTTAGGTTTTTTTATTTCCAAAATTCTGATTGATTATGCTGTTTTTGTGCAAATATACCCACACACATTTAATCCATCAACATGGGCTTGTATTGATATTTTAATATCTTCATAAAGAAATCTTGTTTATATTGATGCAATGTTTGTTTAAGGAATAGAGGGTTTAAATTCTTCACGTTTATTAGGGAAGCTATAAGATTTAAAATCTTTTATACAGGAGCACTTTCGCGTAAAGGAGAAAATTAAGAAGATTACGGAAAATCAGAGTAGATTCAATAGAAGTTATAGAAAATGAAATGTTCAATATGTCCCGAACACTTCATCAAATTATTTTCCCAAATGAGGTACGGTTCAGCCCTGATGATGCTTTGACCCCGTTTTCAATAATACCCATTCATGTTGTAGTGGATTAAAACGACAGATGAGTTCATAAATTGAAAATCTTTCGATGGTTGATTTAAATTTTGGTTTCAATGGGTCCCCCTTCATTATTCTAACTAAAAGTACCGACTTGCCCTGTGATCCTATCTTTTTGGATTTCACAGCTTTTTCTAAAATGTCATTTTGAGTTCAGTGACTTTCCTAATTAATTTTTTAAAAAACCACCTTGGATTTTGAAGAAAAAAATCTTTATTTGTGTTAATTGCTTTTCATTCATAATAATTTTTGAGAAAAGTTCACTGTAAACTATTACACTAAAGTTGGCAGTTTCATTAGAAAATAATTTTAATATAGTGAGGAATGTATGTACTGTAAAAAGAAAAGATAAAATTTCTGTAAGGAATTAATTTCATCTGATTAAAGAACTTTTTTAAAACTTTTATTGCACTCATTATGAACTGATATTTAGAATATAAATTCAGTTTAATAAAATGTATATTATTATACTATATAGACTTATATGAAACTAAAAAAAAATACAAATCTAGGATGACCATAAATCTATGAAAGTCATCGTCGATAATTGTAGCTTTTATATGTTCTTTTATACCATTTTGGTTTAGGGTAGTTTTGTCTTTTTTCTGAAATTTAAGAAAATGTAATTTAG